CCATTTGCCGGAGAAAAACAGGGTCTGCACGCTTGGGGGAATATTTAGTGACCTAATATGAAGCAGGTGCCTTTCAAGATGAGGCTTGTTGTCCTTAAAGTATGCCCCCAACATACTTCATTGCCTCCTGGATGAATAGCAAAGTCAGGTTTCGGCACAGCCTGAGCAGGAAATTACAAGCTCTGGTCTGGGAAGAAATAGACCACAGGCCGGAGGGATTGCAGGATCCAGCTAATAGGCATGAGGCAAGTGAGGGAATATGTGTAGGAGTGAATCTGGAACATAATAGTCTCCTGTCATCCACAGTTGTGCTTGATTGAAGGGGAGACTTAATATTTAGCAGACAACCCTGGTGCAGGATCTCTAACTTCTGCAACCAGTGCTATGGTGGGTAAAAGGGACATGCTGAAGGGTCTGAAACTGTTTGTGCCAAATATTACATTAGAAGCAGTATCACACTCCAGAGGGATTGCAGGTATTTGTGAAAGCATCGGCTATTTGAAAGATGTGGGGGTATCACCATCCATGACGCATATATATTGCCACTAAGGATTTCAGGTTTTGGAAACTCCCATCTCTCCACTGTAGTTAATGTTGCCGAAATCTCTGTGGTACATCCAGACTACACCGACTTACACTGGTACCCTGTTATCAGTAAACCTGTTTAATTTACCTGAGAAGCACCTTTATATGGTCTCTCCGTCAATCTGAGCCTGCAGCAGGCATTTATCAAAATGGGCACACACAGTAGATTATGCCTTACAAATATCCTTTTGTACGCTGTGGCTTGTTGCTTGTTTTCCACTCTTGTTTTGGTATCTTTCACCAAAAGTTTATCTTAAAGGGTTCACACTGATCGGTATTTCTCATTTTGTCTTACTTTTGTAGATTTTAATTAAATCTCTTATTCAAGATCATAAATATATTCTGCTAGGGCCAGGGATTGAGTTCAGTGGTTCTGCCACCTGCCTTGCAAGCACAAGGTCCCGAGTTCCATCCCTGGTACCAAAAATAAAACAAAACAAACAAATAAATATATTCTGTTAGAATTTAATTTAATTTAATTTTTTTTTTTTTTTTTGGTACCGGGGATCGAACTCAGGGCCTTGCACTTGGGAGGCAGGCAGCAGAACCACTGAGCTAAATCCCTGGCCCTGTTAGAAATTCTTTTACTCTTTTTATAATTATATAAAATATTCTATATATCTATACATACTATAGTTCTTATTTACATTAAATAGTTCTCCCTGTCTCTTTGCTTTATTGGTTAGAATTCAGTTTCCTACTGACTCTTAGTGTATTATTCATGGTTTTAATTTTGCTACTTTTGTTTGTTGATTAGATACAATTATTTTGAGCATCTTTGTAGCTGAGATATAGTCTTGTTCCTGCCTATCCACCCTTTGTTATGTCTTACTTTCCTTTTGAAAGTATATAAACATATACTAGAACTTGCACTTTTTGCTTAGGAATTTTCAATGGTTCCCAATGAAATAATTATAATCAACAAACATTTATATATCACTTCCTAAGTGCAAAGCACTGTTTTACATATATTAACTCATTTACTTCTATACAAAACAGAACTATGAGGTAGATAGTATTATTATTTTATCACCATTATATAAATAAACAAGACACAGTGACGCTTGGAAGAACTAAGACTTCAAATCATGATTTCGGGCTCCAGAATTTGGGCTTTCAATCTGTATCCACAACATATAAATGAGCTTTCATGATGATGGAGTTATATTTGATAAACTTATTGTCACATTAAAAATATCATAAGTTAAAAATAATTTAATATACCTAGCCTACCAAACATCGCAGTTGGGCCTACTTAAATGTGCTTAGAACACTTGCCTTAGCCTACTGCTGGGCAAAATTATCTAATAAAAAGCCTGTTTTATAATACAGCATTGGCTATTTCATGTAATTTACTGAATGCTTCATTGAAAGTAAAACACAGAATATTGCATGTGTATGCTTTTCTACCACCATACAGTCGAAAAGTCATTAGGTGATACCGTCATGGGATTGTCCGTATGTTTTTCTAACTAAGAAGTCCTGTTAAATATAAAACTGATTCAAAACTTCTGAGCACACCTTCCAACTGTCCACAGTGTTTGATCCTTTGTACCATCTTGACCCATGCAGCCAGCAGCTCACTACACTAGACGTTGTTGGTTTAAATTTGCTGTGTGTGTTTATGACTTTTTATCTTAGGTTTTTTTTTTCTCTTGGTCAGAGATATCTTTCTAAATGTTCTCTTTTTTTTCATTCACTCATTTTAACAAAGATTTATTTGTGGTGTTTTTTGTTTGTTTGTTTTGCATTAGGGATCAAACTCAGGACTTTGTGCTTCCAAGGCAGGCGTCGACACCACTGAGCTAAATCCCCAGCCCAACAAAGATTTCTTCAGGAGTACTTCATGTCAGGTGCTGGGCTTGGATGTTAGGTTGCCATAACAAACACATTAGCCTACTGTTGGCTAATTGTCTAATAAAAGTCTTTGTGGCAGGGTCTTTCTGTTAGTGGGCATTTTTGGTTCAGGGCTAAGACACCATCTCCTGTATGGTTCTTTGTTTTCTGTCCAGTCCCACTTCATCTTAGGACCCCTCTAACATTTTTTGAGCCTTTGTCACAACTCACCCACAGTCTGTTTTTTTTTTTGTTTTGGTTTGTTTTTTAATAAAATCATGTTTAGTTATTGTATGTGTCACCTGCTTCTTGCAGGGAATGTGTGGGCATACTCAACAAATGCGGCATTTAACTAACTGAATGGATGAAGAAGCAAAAAAGAAATTTTTAAGTCCGTATATTAGGTAGTGAGGTAGAAAGGGGAGATTTTTGTGCTCTTTTTCTTTTAAGAACTGTATATATCTATTTGGGGCAGTACAAGTGATTAGCAGCTAAATTACTATCCGACAGAACACTAACCTTATTTCTTATTTCTCTAACAGTAACTTTAGATGAAAAAGAATTTTGAATGGGCAAAAGGATCCCTGCAGCCTGCAAAGGCATTAATTAAATGAAACAGCAGTTTACATTATTTATAAGGAAGCTATTTACATTACTTAGCCCTGTCAGACACAGTAGTTGCATAGCTCCATTCTTTCATTACAGGGAAAAGGATAAAGCAAAGTGACAAAAAAGGTAGAAAAGATATTATAATGGCTGCATCTCATTACAAGAAAGACAGCTTCTTTACAATGTTAAAAAACGCGTCAAATATGATTTAACTGAACCAAATGGAAACTTCCATCTTGCCCCACTGATGATTCAGAACATAACACCTATTTAAATATTCAGAAAAGCTTCCAAAAACGACTGCAAATTAAGCATTGTTAACTAAATTACGTGCAAGGAGGAAGATGACTAAGATGCAATGTTTCATAATTCAAGTATTTGAATTTAATTAGTCACATATTTCACAAGTGACTTTGAAATGTAAGCACTCATACTAAGAGCAAGGTCACTGGTGACGGCAGCCAGATTGGGGGAAAATTCCCACTGTGTTTTATTTTTATTTTCTTCCTTCCTCTGTGACCACTTTAATTTAATTGAATCCTGCTGTTTCACTTTCATCAATATAATAGGTGGTTCTCAGCGGCAAATTACACTAGCTTTTCATCTGACACGGACAAGACTAGTATGTGAAACCAAAATTAAAAAACAAGAGAATTTAGCAAACTGATTGAAATAAGAATATCCTATTAATTTTGTTTTTGAAAATGCGCCAAGGATGAAAATTTCCCTCAGCCCTAAATTCTTTAAAGTCTTAAATATTCTTTTGCTTACCAAAAGATAAGATAGAAACTTTGTCAATCAGAGCATGGTATCTAGATCCTGATTGGAGAATTAGACCCAACAGTGACTACTCTGCCTTTTTCTACTTGCTGGGAAGTTTCTCTGGCCAAAATTACCTTCTCCAAATGAGCAAAACACTGTCATCTTCCTTCAGAAAATATTAGGGTGCAGCACACAGACATAACAGGCTAGCCTTCCAAATTAGCACAGGTCCACAGAGCCTGTACGAAATTAGGTCAGAGCTGAAAAAATAAAGCATTATCTGTGGTCTAATAAGCTTCTCAGTCTTAAATGGGAAACTGGGCTTATGGAGTGCTAGGGTCATTTTCCTTATCTTTAAGTGTGAAAGGACTGGTAACACGTTTCAGCGTTAAAGACATATTTTTCTCAGCTATCCAATATTTCTGGTCCTTCTCTTAGATCATTTCGGGTATTGCATAATTTATAAGAAAAGCAGGTTCTCTGTTCATTGACACTCAAACTTCAAATCAATAAACTTGGCTATCACTCTGGTCCATACTACGTAGGGAAAGAACTTCCCTTGCCATTAGCTGTTTCCCTTGAGACCAGTAGTTTCCCCATTTGAAGTAAAGCCTCTCAAGATCCTTGTTTAAAATGCCAAAGAAGTTTGAGAGTTAGCACTCCAAGCCACTGGTATGTAATTAAGTCCAATAGTTAAGGTAGGCATGCACACTGACTTAGAATATTGTGACAATAAGGATATGGCTGACACATAAATTAAGTATCATCAATTATTAGAGACAGACGAATGGATCTGTTGCAGGTATTTGATTCTTAAACTGCTTGTCAGAGTTTCCTAATTTCGACTTGATTAATGAACTGTGGGGAGTTATCAAAACAGATTATGCCTTCAGAGCACAGGCTTTGGAGTCACAAGACTTGGATTTGGTCTATGACACTATGGTTTTTATAAATACATTAACCTACTTAAGATTTAGTTTCCTAAAACTTGAGATGTCAAAAAAGAGTCTAGTCTGGACTGGTGACGATAAAATTTCAGTTCTGGTATTCGCCAGAGCTCCTTTCAAAGCCTTCTGTCTAGTCTGACCTCCCGGAGCTCAGCCTGACAGATTCCCCAAGTCCTGGACCTGACTGTTTCTTCCTCCGACCGCTAGGGGCCGCTGTATTTCCCGGAAAGCGCGCGGGATGCTTAGTTGCCGCGAGACCGTCGCTAGGCAACCTGATCTACACAAACTCCTGGCCCGCGGTCAATATGGCGGCGCAGGGCGCCACCTGGAGCCCCCCGTCCGAGGGGTCTCCCTCATCCGTGTCTCCGCCAGAACAGCCTCCGACCCCGTCCTCGACCTCAGGCACAGTTTCCAAGTCGCCCCTGGAGTCGAAGCTGAGCACCCCGAGCCCGCTGCTTCGCTGGCCCTGTCCCGAGGACTCGCTACCCACCGCCGTGTTTTATGGGCCGTTGGACGCGAAGAACCCGCTGCTAGCTTCTTGCGAGAAGGACATCCGCGAGCTCTTAGGCTTTATGAAGAAGAAGGCTTTAGCGACATCGGAGGAACAGAAGCATGAGTTCCGCCGGCGTTGGTAAGCCGAGGCAGGTCGCTGGGAGGGCGCAGCTAGAGAAGGGACCGTGTCCCGCGGAAGGATGCAAGGGGTGGTCCTGGAGCTGGGTCAGCGTGGTGGAAGATAGAAAAACAGTTTGAGAAGTGGAGGGTCGTCACTGTCACAATTCATAGTTCCTGGTACATGTTATATCATGGCTTCCTTTTCAGGTCAAAATAAAAATCTACACCGGAATGTTTCATAACTCACCATTTATTCTGTTTCTGAGTTCCCCTAATTACGACTCTAGGCTAATAATTTTTGACCCACTCAGGGATTGTACAATTTTCTCTTTTCAGGATGGGCAGATAATTTTGTATATGAAGACAAAAGAATAGGTTGGAGGTGATTTAGGTTCTTGAAGAAGTTCTCAATACTGTGGAATATGTCACGTGTGTACCTTAGCTTCTTTTTATAATGCTATTAGAATCACAGAGACCTTTTTTCCTCCTTGATTTTATGACTTATTCTGCACATCTTTTTTCCTTTTTTTGGACTCTGTCCCTATGTTATTAAGATTCTAAGTTTTTTAAGATTCTTTCCTGTTTATGTTATCTTTTACAGTCAAATACATCACAAACTGAACATCTGCAAAAGTAGATGAGTGGCAGAAAATACTAGAATAGTGATTGGTTTTAACTTGTATTTTTGTTCATGCATTTAATATGAAGAAACAATTTTGACTTACATGTATTATTCATTCATTCATCTAATATATATTATATATATATTATATTAGGTCCCTTTATAAAAACTAGATTAAAAGACATGAAAACCCCCATCTACATGGAGTATGTATTTTTTTTTAGTATGATCAGTCACTAAACAAGTATGGAAGTATGGTAGTTGCCCTTATCCATAATTTTTTAAATTTTTATTGAGTTTATTGGTACATTTTAGGTATACAGTACAGTTGCATTCATTATTGGGATCTTGTACTTTTACATGACAGGTCTTGGTTCTCATTTTTTCCCCTTGTCTCTGCCTTCCCTTCACCCGCTCCTCTCTCCCCATTTACAAACATTTTATTACCATTTTTTCATTTTCTCATATTTTTTTCTTTTCCCTTATTACCTTTCCCCTACCCTTCTCACTTTCCCTACACCTTCAGCCCTTTTCTTCCTATTTCACATTGTCAATTATATCATTAGGATCTTATGTACTATTATAGTTTTTCACACCAGAGAAACTATTCAGTATTTACACCTGTGTGACTTATTTCTTTCACTTAGGAGTATATCCTCAAATATGCTTCCATTTTCCTTTGAATGAATCTAATTTCTCATTCTTTATGGCTGAGTAATATTCTATTTTATAGAAAAAACATATCTTCTTTATTCAGTTTCCAACTGATGGGCAAATGGGCTGTTTCCAAGTTTTAGCTATTACAAACTGTGCCGCTGTAAACATAGGTGTGCATATATCACTGTGGTATGATTCTTTCAATTCTTTTGGAAAGATACCCAGCGGAGGGATGGCTGGGTCAAATGGAACCTCTAGTCCCAGCTCTTTGAGGTATCTCCATATTGATTTCCATAGTGGTTGCACCAGTCTGCACTCCCACAAACAATGGAGAAGGGTTCCTTTCTCCCCACAACCCCACCAATATTTGTTATTGGTTGATTTCTTGATAGCAGCCATTCTTTGTGGGGTGAGGTGGAATCTCAGTGTTGTTTTCATCTGCATCTCTCAAATGACCAGTGATGTGGAACATTTTTTTCATATATTTACTTGCTGCTTTTACTTCTTTGAGAAATGTCTGTTCATTTCAGATGCCCATTTTTGAATTGGTCTTATATTTGGGGGGCTGATTGTTTTGAGTTCTTTATATATTCTAGATAAGAGCCCTTTGTCTGAGGAGCAGCTGGTAAATTTTTTTCCCACATTGTAGGTTGTCTTTTAGTTCTGCTGATGGTTTCTGTTGCAGTGCAGAAGCTTTTTAGTAAGATGAGATCCCAGTTGTTGATTCGTTCTGCTACTGAGGATTTGTTCATAAAGTCTTTTCCTATGCCAATGTCTTCAAGAGTTCTGCCTATCTTCCAGCAAATTTAGTGTTTCTTTTTTAATATTTAGATCTTTAATCCACTTCGATTTTAGTTTAGTGCATGGTGAAAGCCCTTATCCATAATTTTGTTTTCTTTGCCTTCAGTTTCCTCTGGTCAGTATGGTCCAAAAACATTAAATAGGAAATCCTAAAAATAAGCTGTTCTTAAATTTTAAATTATATACCTTTCTGAATAATGTGATGAAATCTTATACCACCCTGCTCTGTCCCACATGGGATGTAAATCTTTCTTTATCCAGCCTATCAATCCCATAGAGGCCACCTGCCCACTGATAGATGTCTTGGTTATCAGATCAGCTGTAGTGGTATCATTACAATTGCATTCAATAACTCATTTTATTTAATAATGGCCCCAAAGTGCAAGATGAGTAATGTAGGCAGTTGAGATATGCAGAAGAGAAGCCATAAAATGCTTCCTTCAAGTGAAAAGGTGAAAGTTCTTAATAGACAAGCAAAAAAAATTACGTGTCAAGGTTGCTATGATGGAGAGTATGGCAAGATATATGGAGAGATACCACATTCATACAACTTTTATGTCATAATTATCCTATTTTATCATTAGTTATTGTTTATTTCTTCCTTGCTTAATTCATAAGTAAAACCTTCATACATATA